CCCCCCCCCCCCCCCCCCAGCCGAAGGCTGGGCTGCAGCCTGCACCATAGAGCCAGGGCAGCTGTAGGGACAGGAACCCCACTTCCTCTCCCAACTCCCCCCACCCCCCAGCCACCAGCAGGCTGCATATGGGGCTGGGATCAGAGACTGTCACTGACTTTGATTCTATGATTCAGGTCAGTGACAGCTAGGGGGGAGGGCAGGGCCAGCCAGAGCTTGGGTAGAGCAAACAAAGTCCGCCTGAGGCTAGAGCACAGCCTGTGTATTACCACCTGGAATGGTGGCAATCACGTTTTAAGTTAACCATTGATGGAATTTGGCACAGATGTTTGATAAAGTGCTCTAACAGAAAGTGGTTAAGTTAGTACATATCCATCCAGGGTTAATTTAGAGTAAGAATTGCCATTTTAAAGTGCTTAATGTACCATTAATGTCTGTTCTGTTACAGCTGTAAAACACTTTATATGTGCTTAAAGGTATATATGTGCTTAAAGGTATATATGTGCTTAAATTAAGCCCTATTTTGTAACCATCTACTACAAGGTAGATGGTTACAAAATAGGGCTTAATTTAAGTGGAAGAAAATCAGAGAACAAGAACAACAGTGATGAAAGGATTAGAAGTTTTGACCTCTGAAAGGTTAGGCCACCTAATCCTGGATCACTGAAGCCAATAGGAACTTTGACATCTTTAATATGTGGATTAGAATACTGAGGTGTTGGGAAGATGAATTAATTCATAATTGTAATGTGCAATCGAGACATCTGGATGAAAGACCCATTGAAGCACAAAAACACTTCTAATGCTACTGATATTATTAAGCAAACTAGGAGCACCTCTGAAGAGCCTGGAAATCAAGGAGTTGTTAGTGCAGATAAATGGTAAAAAGTGATGGCTTGTAATATCTGTAGTTGGTAGATACATGAACATGTGATAAATCTCACTGGAAAAAAAACTTGGTTTGTCCAAAAGAATGAAATTCAGAAAAGCGGGCAATTGTATTTAGGGAAAAATGGGGAAAACATTTTATTTTGTATACTTGTTTATATTGCATATCAATTATATGTTCAGTGACTTGACCTACATGTATAAGGAAAATATCTAGTCATTTTATTTTAACTTCCTTTTCCCTCATCCTAGGAGAGCCATCCAATACCTGGATACAAAGCTGGAGAGAGGTATCTTGGAGTGACTTGTACCTACTTGGCAGGCTTTAGAAATGTATAAGGATAGCTCTAGGAAGGACCAAGATCTATAAAACACCAGATCTGTATAGATTGTGAGCTATCCAAACTATATATTTGGGACATGGAATAAGGCACACAATATAGCATTAGATGTATTCTTTCTTTTTCTGTGTGTACACTGCATGAAATAATTACTACTTACACATTTACATGCCAGTACTGCACTACCAAAATATATTTTAGCCAAGTAAACTACAGTGTAGATGCTTAATGGAATTAATGGCAATTAATTTTGTAAGTGGCTCATTCAAGTCCACAGTAAATTTCAATATTTTTATCCTTCATTGTTCTAGACCAAATAGGTTATTAAGATCAAAATAATTGGACTCTGTTAGTCTAATTGTTCAGAATTAAGTTCTTTCTGGTTGAATTGGAGTTTCAAGTTTAGTTTCAGTTTTGTATTTTCAATATCATAAACTCTATCAGTTCAGTGGTGTTCTTTGCCTCTCACACAGTGAATGATAGGTTGATCACAGTATGTTGCCCCTCTTTCTGATGTACAGGGATCAGGCAGAACAAATAGGGAGTAAAATGCTGAGTTCATAAATGAATAAGCCTACTGATATAGAAGACAAAGACTGCCAGTGGAGAAAAACGAGAAACTAGGAATTAATGTCAAGCCCCCTCCACCAGTGGTTAAAAGAAGTATTTTTTTATGACTCTATGAGGAAAAAAAGAGTTGGCATACAGTGCACACTTTAACAGAAGGGCACGAGCTTCATTTGATTTTTGCTTGACTGAAGGATGCCACTCTTTATAACTGCCTACCCTGTCAACATGTGGGATAGAAGTGATGATAACTCCAGACAGTCTTCTTATTTCTCCCTTCAGGGAAAGGCTTTGATAAATATTGACTACTGAGGAAGTCTGGTTGAGAGTAAAGAAAAAGTAAAAGGACAAAAATGGCATCCATGATGATAGAAGAATTGTATGACAGAGGTCAGATTACCAACTGAAACTGCACAACTGCAATGAATAACAACAACATAATCTTATTGGAACTGCCTATTAACTTGTACACAGAACAAAATTACACAGGAGAAACCCTGTTGTTGCACATGACAGCTAAGATTTTTTCACAGTTGTATGTGCCTGCTATATTTTGACTTTTTGCTACAAAAAATAAACAACAAAAATCCCATTCCAATCTCCATAGAACTGCAATTATTTAAGTAACTGTCTTGCCTAAGAGACATGTACCTGCATTTAAATTGATTCAGTGGATGAACTCTCAAAACAATCCAGCATTCATAGTGATATCTGGAGTACCATCCTTATATTTATACAAACCACATCTGAACGCTAAACACAGTCCGAGGGTGACATTCTTGATATTCAACCAGAAAATACTGGCTCTGAATTCCAGACATTCCAATTTTTAACCACATCCTTATATGCTCTCTTGAAGGGTTTAAAGTCGCACCTTGAAAATGGAATAGCTAAAAACACCATTCTTGCTCCAATGCAATGCATTTTACTTGATCACTGTTATTCTAGAGAAGAACAATATTTATAATGTTTTTGAGCAATGCATTTTACCTTTCCTCTACAAAAACAAGTTTCTATAAACAAATGTAATAGCATAAAAGAGGAAATGACATTAGCACATATGACATCAGAACATTTTAGGTCCAAATTAAAATACATTATTTTTGTCTAGACAAGTTCTATTTCAATGAGATTTTGAAGTAAAGCAGTGACAATATTGCATCAGGTGATGTGCTTGATCTTGGTGATTGTTTTAAAGCAAGCGCACTCATCAATATATAGGTAAGTGATGAATACTTTTGAAAGGCCCTTTTTTTAAATTTAAAGACAAGAAAATGGAATTACCAATGTTCTAATGGGATAAAGAATTATATCAAATTGTCTGCTGCTGGTATTATGATAGGCACTGATTTAGGTCTTGCCCATTTTCTATGACTTCTTTCTGTAATTTCATAAACTAGTTGGAAGCAGAGGTATCATGCCAAGCTATAAAAACAGCAGCTCAAGTCATCTTCACCTGGTTAAGTTTTGCAGTATTAAGGCAACAGAAACAACTGTAAGGATACCCATGAAAGATTTAAAAAACAATTTTAGTCTAAATACATTTCCCACAAAATGAAAGAAAGCAATTAAAATGTAGGCCAGTCATCAGATATTGTATAATGCTGAGGTAAAATAAATATTGCTGAAGTGACAGAAGTCAAAGGGATTAAAGCTTTCACTGACATGCTTGCCACCAACTGACTTCACATAACAAGTGAGGTTATAATAGTAAGGAACAACAACTGAGGTGAAGGAGAATCCACAGATTTAACATCGATCTTACTGGCTTTTAGCAATTCCCATTAACACATTTGTTATTTCTAACATACTTCTGAAGTAAAAATAAAGGTTCTGATTGATGCCTATTTTAGTGCTCTTTGGGGGGTGGGAGGTGGGGGGTTCAGGCTCCCAGAGTTAAGAAGTTAGTTTAAAAATAGTGCTTTGTCCCTGTACTTTTATGGAAGTGGGATTTCCTTTCATTCTTGTGATGGCAGCGGTAACTCTGTTTACTGTGCTGCAGATAACTTAAAGGAGTTCCTAACATACTGTACTAGTGTCAAATATCAGGAACTCCTTGGTCAGCACAGTGATGCAAACTAACCTTTCATTTCCCAATATGAGTTTTTTATTATTACTACAAATGTGTTACTTATTTGATATTGGTTTATATACTTTTCTGCTTAATATTGCATAGATATTAAGATACAGATATAAGATATAAATATAAATATGTATCGATCAAAGTGCACTTATGTGGATTTCTACCTTACAAATTTTTCAAGCAAGGAATATTCTACTGTGAATTTCTGCTATTGCAATTACATATATTAGGAAATAGCTATGGTATACAGTTTTCTTGCAAATGAATGAAATTATCTATATTTCTTAACTGCAAAGAATTTTCAGCAAGCACAAACTGCTTCAGTTTTCTCCAAGTAAGATTTTAGACTTCTTACATTTTATCATTTACCAACTAAATGAACTTTCAGATGCATATGTTTATAAAATGTAAACATAATTCATAGCTATTACTATTTAAATGTAAGTCTATACTACAGGAAATAAACATAAAGAATAATTATGCTGCCTTGTCAATTTAACAGAAGGAATTCTTAAATAACTAGTCATGGGGTGCTTCTTCATTTGTTTTTATTCACTCTAAGAATTTGATGTAGCTTTTATCAGATTTCAAACAATCATGTAGCATAGTTATAAACCAAGGACTCATGTTCAGTAATGAGGAACAACTAACAGATGGGTAAAACAGCACTGTAAAGGGTAAAAGGACAAAAATGTTATATAGACAAAGAAACAAAGATTACTTACCAGTTCAACTCTTCCAAAACCTCCAACTCCAAGTGTGTCAATGATGTTGAAATCAGACAGTTTCAGGTTGGCGAAGAAGGCAGCTTCGGCTTCATATCTGGATTTTTTTATGCGAAAAAATGGAAATTTCTTAGAGGTGCAAACATGAGTACTGCGTAATACTGTACCCGAATGGTATGAGTGTGGAACTGGGTTTACCTGCTTAATTTCCATCTTGTCTCTTAAAGTCAATGTTTGTTCACACTCATAGCTTTGTTGGTCCCAAGTATATACTACATCTATTTGCACTTTTTTCAAAGCAGGTAAAACAAACATACCTACTGTATGTTGATAATGCAATTTTTTGTACTGTAACTCAATTCCAACTATCAACTGAATGCTACATTTTGACACCTTCTATTAATCTTCTCGTGCAGAGTGTTTTTTGCCTTTTAGTATTTTTGGAAGATAAAGTTGCTTATGTGAGTTTCCCTTATCCACAGGCTAGCAGCAGTTTCTATAAATGTTTATTGAAAGTGGTAAGATCATTAAGGTCTCTGGAGAGAAATCACAGCCAGGTTTTATGAAATCAGATCCGATAAGATGAGGACTGGTTTTCAGTGTCTGAAATGAATGACTTCAGGCACATATTATCCTTTCTAAAGGAGCTTCTTCACTTCTTTTACACTTATAAGTTTACGTGGAGTAGAAATTCCATCCTAGTTGTCCCAAAGTCCAGACGCTGTTTTGCCTGCATACAACTGGTTCATAATAAAACCAGCCAGCATGCAAATCTGACACATGCAAGTATGCCAAAATAAGCTTCCCATGAATATACTCATGAATATGAATCCCTTAAAATATCTCCTTGTTGAGGTGTATGTTATTTTTAGAAAAGTTCAGAGGGGAAATGGATGAACAGGATACACCCACTGAATGAAGTTTGCCTTTCAGCTGCCAAAAAAAATCTCCAGTGCATATGCAGAGTCATGCACAACCTTTGATCTTCAGAAACACAGAATGTATATTAACATAGTACTGCCAGATTTCTGAACATCAGCATGAAAAGTGCAGATTCTTTTGAGAGGTTACCAATATAAAATATTTAATGCATTTTTTTCATTAAACAGCTTCTTCACCCTAACATAATAAAGTGAGTAGACTTCATGTAGGACATGATTTTTCTTACAATGTTACAGCTGAGATAAAATTCATAGTACTACTAATGACCATATACTATACATACATCAGTCTATATATCTTTTAAATGTAGCAAATTTATCTCTCTTTTGCCTATCACTTTGTAACCTAATCTGATAGTGAAATGTAGCTGATTTACTCTCACCCTATTCTATTCAAACCATGGTTCTTTATTCTTTTTAAAAGTGATAGGACATTGTGAAGGGAGCGGGTACAGCAGAAAAACCTGTTTGAAAATAACAAAGTAGAAGAAAAAGAGCTGTAAGGAAAGGAGAAAGGTTGGAGTGGCCATAAAAAACAAATTAAAATGTAATACAGGGCAATGCTATCCTGTGGGTTCTGATGACAAATTAATTGAGCTCTACTTTATTATTTATACTGTCATCAAATCCTGTCAATAACCTTGTACCTTGGCCACAGCACTCTGGCTGCATCTGATTTTGGAGACTAATGAGTACTGAGCCAGTTTAGTACTTGGAACAACCTTGTATGACATGTTTGCTTATTGATTGTTCTTTACTAACCATGATGTGTATATTAAAATGGCAACAGAAAAACTAGGTGCTATTAAATGAAAGACCTACTTACAAATCCCCTTCTAAATTACAAAAAACAAAATACTGAGACCGAATTCTGTCCTGATATATATATATAGATATATATATAGATATATAGATATATATATGCATATGTGTGTGTGTGTGTGTGTGTGTGTGTGTGTGTGTATAAATATATACACACACACAGACACATATATAAATACAATGTCTTAAAATAACTAAAGCCAACATGAAGTAACTTTATTGAAGTTAGTTACTGAGTTTGCCAGCTGTAATGAGAGAATTTGGGCCCATAAAAGAATATCAGAGCAGAGTATCTGGCCCTTGCCTGTCAAAGATATGCACTGGGCTTTTAGCTGTGTGTTACCTTTAAGATGTCACAAAATCCAACCTTTAGAAACCTGACATTATATCTATTATAACATTTAAACTAAAATATGAGAATGAGAAAACTTCTGTTCATCCCATAGTTCAGGAATCAATCCACATCCCCAGTGATCTGTAAAACTCAGGATATAACTTCAATTCAATTTCTTCTTTATGCATTGTCATTAATTTATGCACTACTTTTTAAATCAAGAAACAGTAAGATCTTGGAATGTGCTCTCCTGCTCAGAAACTGTTTCATTCACACTACTTAATGCAAGCAGCAGAAAAAATACTTTGCATTCAAACAATTCTTTCTTTCTACAAGGTTGGATATGATTTCTCAATTTAATAAAAAAAGAGTAGAGTCTTATTCTTTCATGTGAGAGTTAGCCTGTAATGATTCCAAAGTTACTCTCTGACGTGCATTTAGCTGTAAAGGATTAAAAGAGGAATTAAATGAAATTAAGAATATAAATAAATACAAAAATTGAACATTGCACATATTCAGGGGCATGAACTGGTCTGGGGTATGTCAGAGAATGAACAGCTGTTGTAGATGACATCTAGGTCAATGGAGAATTAGAAGGGACAGAATGAAACAAGAGCAGAACATTTACTAGCCATGCCACAAAACAACCTAGTATATGGTTTAAGCTGAAATAACTCAAGGTGCTTTGCAACAAATAGACATACCACAGACCACTGTTGGACATATTTCTTATTGGTTTCACCATGCAGATTTTAACATCTTTTCCTCTGACAAAAAAATGTTGAGGTATGTTGTGAGGTAGGAAGTTATATTCTAAATATTGAGCCTTGTTCATGGGGCCTCCAGGTGTTTTGAGCTAGTTATGTTCCTTTAGACCTGGGCTGTTGACTTTACTAGTTTAACAGACTAATGAATGTGTACTTGTATAATGAAGAAATCTCAGAAAGGTTTTGAAGTGTGGTTCAGTATCCAAAGGTATGCATAGCTATCTGACCCTACTTGAAATCACTGGGTGCATTCTGATGAGTTCACACGTGCAGGGGCATGCGTTTCTCATGGGACAAATAACAGCGGCACATATTTGTGCCACTTCTTTTTGTCCCAGGTCATGCCCCTGCACATGTATTCCTGTACATAGCAAAATGACCTGGGTGGGGTAGGAGTGGCTGGAGCCAGCACAGATGCTGGCCCCAGCAGCCTTACATGGGGTCCTGAGGTCTTCCTGGGGCAGCAGCAGCACCACCAAGCTGGCCACTTGGAGCCTGGCCAGTAGTCAGAGAATTACATTTTTGGTGGCTGCCATTTGGTGGCAGATTACAAGTTGCTGCTGTATGTGCCATGTTGCTTGTTTTTAGCAGTGGGTTTTTTTGACAATGGGCTTGAGGCACTGCAAACCACATATGTGCACTCATTGGGATGCGCCCACTTAAGGGATGTTTGCAGCATAGAGGTAAAATGTCGCAGCAAGGATATTCTTGAGTTTGTATGCCTATGTACACTTTCTAACCCTGGATTATCTAGTGAAGATGCTGTGGGGTCACCTTCACTGGCTGTTCTCACACTGGTGAATGAGTCTAGAGGGTGACTGTGGGGAAATAGCCCTAGAGTGAATTTACCAGGGTATTTCCAGGTTTGGAATGTACAAGCAGGACTGGATGGGTGCAGAGCATCTCTCATGGGACAGACTGCTCCCCCAGTGCAGACATGGTTGAAATTCTTAATCTGGATAGCTATCACCAGCATCTGAAACAGAAGGGCTGCACTGAAATTTTGTAACTTTGCCTCAAGTTGGATGTGAAACATTTAAAAGACAGCCATTCTGATGGTATTTCAAAAATTTTATTTCTGGTCCCAGGAACCTCTTACAGAGCAGAGGGAGAAGACAATGAGAAACAAAAATGCAAAAGAAAATTAATTGGCTTTTCAAATAACACCTTATTCTTCATGTATCAACAGTACACATCGGGCTTAGGGTAGAATCCTGGCCCTGGTTGAAGTAAATGGGATTTTTTTCTATTAGAGAATAAGCAATTTCATGAAAGAATTCACCTGGATGGAAAGAATTAACTCAAATATCTTTTTAACTGGAATATATTTTTACTTTAACGGAGATTTTTCAAGAATTAAGGCTGGCATTTTAACAAGAAGATAAAGGGAGGGCATCATTTATGAATTTCAATACAAGCTGAATGCACAACTCCCTCACGATTCCTTAATCAAAGTACTACATTTATGTTTAGCTAATAGAAGATATGTCTTTTTCAAATGTATACATCTAATTGATATAATGAACAGGTTTTATGTGTTTGCATATAGACTGCAGAAGGAAAAGCATTCAAATTAAGCTCACACATTAATAGTTCATGTTTGTGACAAAACTTTACACTTGTTCTTCTAAGGTTTTAACAATTTAACCAACTTACTGTATTGAAATCTTTTGTCTTTTGCTATTTCTGTTTCACTCCAATGAGTACCAGAAAAGAGGCTTTTCCTAGTTCTTGATGTAGCAGATTTAGGACTCAAATCTATACTCCACCTCCCCCACAAAAATTCAAAGAGCGTCAGTGTTAATGCCCTGATGTTGCACCATTTTGGGCATGGCTACACATTCATTAATGCACCTTAGTTACTGTGCAGTAATTTTTGTACTTTTATAATCAGTATTGGGCGTTACCATGCAGTAGCACAGTGCATGCCTTTTTAGTGATGCTACTGTGCAGTAGCCTAATAATACCGCACAGTAGCATATTAGCACTCTTTCTGCTGTGATGGTTGTACAATATTATTAGGTTACTGTGCAGTTAGCATCTTGTGTAGATGTGCCCAGGAAAGCGTGCAAGATTTGGTCCCAGTGTGCTATGTGAAATGCCTCGGCAGCTGGTTATTATATGTCAATGAATGTTACCATGTGCACAGGGCTAGCTAAGTCACATAATACTGGGAAATAGCATGTGACCTATCCCATAAGGCTTAATCTGTGCACGTGCATCTTCAGAGTTG